CTATAGTCTAAAATAAAAAGTATTTTCTCCTAAAAAAATTATGCTGTTATATTTTTACTGCATCGCCTAATTTAAAATCTAATATCGATATTTGAAATCAAAAATTATGTAGTCGATTTTATTAAATATAAATGTTTCTTTTTTTCAACAAAATTATTTAATATAAATATTTTTATTTATTTATTTATTTGAAATAAAATAAATATATATATATATATATATATTATACATTTACTAGCAAAGATTTTTCTAAAAAATATATTAAAAATGTACAAAATATTTAAATAGCCTGATAGAGCTTGAAATTTTTCATCATAATATAGCTTTTTTAATGAAAATAAAAAAAAGAATTGTCATAAAATTTAATTAAAGCAAGTTGTATAAAATTAAAAAAAAAATCTTTATGCGATAATAAAATTTGTAAAACATTAAAACATAGGATAAATTAATTTTTAAAAATAGATAATTTAAAAAAATAAAATATTTTAACTTAATTTCATTAATATGAATATTTTTATTTTTTAAAACATTTATTATATAAAATAAAGATTAATAAAATATTATAGATAGTTCTTTTTAATTTATACACCTATATAAATTTTAAAGTATAAACATATAAAAAAAAATGATAATTAAATGAATACAGTAAAATGATGTAAATTTTAAACTGTATTATCCATTTAATTAGTAAGAAATCCAAAACTAAATCATGGTTTAATTCTAATAACATCAATTATAAAACTCTGAGATTTTTTTGTCGCTTCTTACTCTCCTTTAAAATGCATTTAATATTCCATATTCGTAGAAACATTAAGTATAAAATTGAGAAGAGTTTTTAATTTACAAAATATTAAACAAAGTAATCCATAAATCTTCCTATAATTTCTTCTTTAAAATCATTAAAACCAAAAGGAATTATCGAATAAAAGAATGCTGTTTATAAATCATATTAGATTTTTTTTTTAAAAAAAAATATAATCATTATTATTATAAAATTCATGCGCTCCTAATTTCCGAGATAATCCTTATAATATCTTGAAAGGAAGTCTTAAATCTCATATAAAAAATAATTATAATATTAATAATCTTAATTTTTTAAGAAATAAAATTTCTAGGGAAAATAAAAATTGATAAATATAGAAAATAAATAAATTATTATTTTTGTCCTTTTAAAAAATAACTAGTTATTGTTTATTAAAATAAAATTAAATACATATATAGTGCATTCTTTAAAATTCCAGTTTAAGGAAAAATATTATTTATATTAAGATAACCTCTTCGAAATTAAATTTTTTAAATTATTTTTTTAACTGAGATAATCTATCTCTTTCTTATTTATTTTAAAAATTATTTTTTTTCTAAATCTTTTTTTTTAGATGCAAAATTTTACAAATTATATGTTTTCTAAAAATATTTAAATGTCAAATTAGTTTAAAAAATTATTATTTATTAAAAAATAAAAATAAAAAAATATATAAAAAAGGCATTTTGTTCCTTATACAATACTTAATTTTATTAAAATCATTGGTTTTAAAAAATAATAAAATAAAGCAATTTTTGTATTCAATGATATATCAAGAATTAACTTTTTTTATATACTTTAATTTAAAAATTATATTATTCTTTTTAGCATAAAAATTATTTACGTATAAAGTTAAACAAAAATTATATATATAAATACATTTGAATTGATTTCTAGAAGAAAAATAGCACTTTTATATTCGAAAAATACATTCTTAATTTATTTTTTATTATTTAAATATATTAATGTTATTTATTTCTTAAATACATTCAATTGTATTTAATTTTTATTAAGATTATTTAAATAAACTAATCAGATTTTGTTATTTATTTTTGGAAATAAAATATTATTTATAAAAATTTATCTTTTCCTAAAAAAATTTAAAGTTTGTTAAAATATTTAAGGTAAAAATCTAGCATGAATTTTTAAAAATGCGCAATTTATAATTAGTTTTATTATAGGATATAAATAATTATAAACAATGCAACTTTTAACTTTAACAAAAAACTTAATTGATAAATATAAAAATTAAATTATTTTTTAATTAAAGAATATAGTTATTCATTAAATATTTATATTTATTTTTATATATAAATAAATTATATAAATCTTTATTAAGGTATTAATATTTATTGTTAAATTAAGGTAAAATAAATATGATTAGTTTTATTTAATATATTTAATTTTTTTTTGATTAAATGGAATTTTATTAATTTTGAAAAAAATTAAATATTAATTTTGTATTGTTTATTTAGATAATTTTGTTATAAATTTAATAAATAATATATGCTTAATTCTCAATTAATTAATATATTAATTCATAATTTTGAAAAATGCATTTTATATTAAAACTTAAATTAATTATTAATATAAATATATGAACGTATAAAATAATTATATTTATTTAAAAATATAAATAAATAATATAAAATTAAAATATAAAAATTTGTTATTTTATTTAATATTAATTATATTAAAAATTAATATTATTAATTATCTTATATTTTAAAAATAAAAATATCATTATATTATTATTATTATTATTATTATAATTATTATTATTATTATTATTATTTTATATTTATTATTATCTTTTTTATTATTATCATTTATCACATTTTCATATTAAAATTTTAATTTAAAATATTAATAATTTAAATTTTATAGATATAAACATATTAACATAAATAATAAATTTTTTATATAATTTAAAATTAATAAATTTATAGTATATATATATATATATAAATATATTATTTAAAATATAAAATATACAAAAAAAGTTTCTAAAAGTTTTAAAAGTATGAAAAAAAGATGTTTTAACTAATAACTTTATCTTTTTTCAATTTGTCAAAAATCAAACTTTTTGTATCTAATAATTTAAAATAGTATAGTATTTTATAATTTTTAAGCAAAATAAATTATTAAATATTCTATTGTATATTCATAAACTAAACATAAAATAGTAATTTATAAACATTCTAAAAATTTGTCATTTTTACTAATTATAATTTCAAAAAAGCTTAAACTATAAATTAAAATCTAAATTATAGCTACAAAAAAGCCAAATCTATTATTTTTTAAAAATGGACATTTATTAAAAATAAAAATAATAGTAAAAATCATTAAGTATGCAAGTTAGTAAAATCCAAAAACTGTTCCACTTAATATAAAAATCTTATGAATGTCTATTGTATATTTTCTTTGCATTTAAATATGATTTTAAATCAATTAATTTACGTACATATTCGTTATATTTATAAATAGAGTTACTTATGAAAAAATGCATGTGATTCTAACCCAGTTAGGAATAGTTTCAAAGCAATATTTAAAAGAGTAAATATTTTAATAGTATTATAAATTTTTCCAATAAATTTTTGGCTAAACTTCATTATTTTTCATTGAAAATTATATTTATTATATATTTTTTTCAGGAGACATATCATTCATTTATTATTAAATTTAATTTTATGGTTATTCTTATAAATTTATTTAATTTCCTATGTTTAAGCTTTATATGTTTGCTTAATATATTTCTTATTCTTAGTTTTTTGGATATGTCATTACTGAATTACTTTTTTATTATCTCATGTTTTAATTAATTTATTTGTTTTAATTAATTTATTTAATTTGATTAGGCAAAGTTTGTTTTTCTTAAATTTATTAAGAGAAAAAAATTTAATTTTGATATGTTGGAGTTTTAAAAATGTTTCTATTTATTTGCCAATTATTTTATGTTTGCATTTTTGTATTTGTATTTTAATTTATTATAATTTTGTTTTAATTTTCTTATTAGGGAATATTATCTGGTGTTTTTAATTCAATTATTTAAGGTTCTGCTTCTGCTTTTTTAAAGTTTAGAGACTCTTTATGTTCTTTATGTTATAAGTCTTTTATTTCAATTTCTATATCTATTGGATTTTCAAAATATGTTTTTAGATTTAGGCAAATACTATTATTTTTAAGATTTTCTTAGCAAATAATTAATGTAGTTTTATTTTTATAAAAATAACTAAAGAAAGAAATAAAGATAAAAAGTAAGCTTAAAATAATTAATACTATGATTTTTATAAAGAATTTAGGATTTTTTAGACTTTCTGAATCAATTTAATTTTTTTGTTTATAATTAACATTTCCTAATGCAAAAAAAAAAATTAAATTTGGATTTTCATTTTAATTATTTTCATTTTAAAAACTTTTATCTTATTCTTAAATTTTCCATTTTTTATTTTCTTATTGAAGTTCTTCTTAAAATACAATGGTTCTAATATTTTCATATACATTTTGGGAATCTTAAAATTGAGAAATATTTGTTTCTATTTTTACTTTTTAACATTTCATATCATTATCTAAAATTTTATTCATATTTTAAATTTCTACGTTTATTACATTCGAATTTAATGTTATTTAAAGTTCTTCTTCTTTTTAAATTTGAACTTTTGTAAATAGCATATCTAAAGGAAAAACGATTACATATATTTATTTCATATCTATATTCTATTCCATTTTAATGTTTATTTAATAATTTTTATTCAAGTTAATAAATGTATATTTCTATTATGAATTTCCTATATAACCTTTTATATTTGAAAGGTTTACAAAATATTCGGATTTCTGCGTTAAATGTAAAATATTCTAAAGGGTTATTTTTAAATTTTTTAAAATTATATTAAATATTTCAACTTTACCTTATTATTCTATGTTACTTATTCGAATTATGTCAATTAATAAATCTAATACCTTCATATGAAGTTTTAAATGTTCATAAGAAAAATATTAATAAGGAATTATGTTTTATTAATAGATTTAAATTATAAATAATAAAATATTTTTTTTAAATATATCACGATTTGATACAATGCCAAAGTAAAGAGAAATCAATTATTAGATACTAGTTTTTTAGTGTTATTTTTGGATAATTTATATTTTTTTATTTTTACTTTTTTTTATTTACTTTAATGGGTAATTTTATTAAGAATCATTAAGCAATCTTTTTTAAAAATAACTAAATCCTTAAATTAAAGAATCTATATAAAACATAAGCAAATTTTGATAGTCTTCTATGTTTTTCTTAGAAATTTAACAAAACTATCCTTTTGTATAAATAATATTAGTATAAAAATTGTTCAAATTAAAATATACCTGTAAAATCTGATGAACAATCGCACATTTCAAAATATGATGAAAAAAATTTTTTACAAATTCCTTTATTACTACAAAAATTAGAATCACACTAATTATTAACTTTATTTTTTCTTAAATCTTATTTATCAAAATTTATATCCTATTCGATTTCTAAGTCCACTTATTTAAAATTTCCTATTAATTAGATTATTTATTCGGATATAATTTTTACATCTTTTAAAGATTTTGTTGTTAAATAAAATCCATTAAACAATATATCATGCATTTAACTATTTTCGAATTTTTATTTTTAGTTATAAAACTCTTTTTAAATACAATTGCCATTTATTAAAGTTGTTTCTTCAGGGCATTTATCTAGACACTATCCAAAATAAGAAAATTAACTTTTTTATTTGCATTATGTACACCAAGCATTATTTATATTTGGATTATATATTATACTTTCACAATCATTTAAAGGTAAACAATTATTATATTATTCAACCGTACTCCAAGGGCATTATTAAAGCACAAAATCATTCAAAACAAATAAATTGTTTTCTAATATATCATCTTATTTTATACAATTATCAAATTTAGATTTTAATTATTAAGTAGATTAAAAACTATTAAATGTATAAAAAAAATTAAAATAAAAATTAAATTCAATAAAATTAAAACAAAAAAAACCATTTTTTACAAATAAATTGTCCCTCTTCTTTATAAGTATCAGGAGGACATTTATCTTTATAGCATGTTCCTTAAAATAAATATAAGCCTGGCTAACATTAAATGCAAAAATCACTTAACCCACTGCACTAAAGACATTGATTTTATTAATTATTACATTATTTACAATCTAATGTTCTTTCATTTTCCATCTTTACAGGAAGTCCTTTTGTCATAAAAATAAATTCTTAATTCTCTAAAGGCACGTATTAATTTTAATCGCACTTTTCTTTACAAAAGGCTCTTTAATCTTATGTAATCAATACAAAATTCAATTCATCATAGCATTCTAAACATGTATTATAATCGGAACATTTTAAACAATTAGAAGGACAAAACGAGCATGAATGTCCATCAAAAAATTCGCCTTCACCACAAAAGTCAACTATTTTTACACACTATTAGTTTTAAAGCTCAAAATTTTGATTACATTTTAAACACTATTGTTAAGTACATTACCAACAATTTTATTAACATTAAATACATTCCTTATATTATTAACTTAATTAATGTTATTCTTCACATTAAAGATAATTACCAATTTATGTGCAATAAATACCTTTAAATTATTTTGATTATTTTTTTTTTATTTTTTTTCTAATTATTTTTACAAATATTTTTGCAACGCAAACATTATTCTTATTTGTTATCATAACAGTAATTAGGATAGTCAATACATTTATTGTCTTTGTTTATACATTTTCCATCTTTTAAATCGTATTCTGGTAGACATTTTTAACATATTCCTGTCTCTTTTTAACACTTTTTACAATATTAAATTTCACATAATAAACATGTTTATTTTTTTAAGTAAAATGAATCATCACATTATATACATTTTCCACTTTATTCGCATCTTTAATTATTATTTTAAATTATTTATTTAAATTTTTTTTTATTTTTACTAAATACAACCCCTTATTTTACAAGATAAGCAATATCTTATATGTTAATCTTGAGGATGTTTAATAGCTATATATCCTTATTAGCATTATTAACATTAATTATCTATACATTATTTACAAGTTGTAGGGCATTATTCATATTTTTATAATTAAACTTATGTAATTAATGTATTAAATATTATTATTATCTAAAAGCTATTTAAAATCATTATTATGTATTTTACAATTTATTAATTTAATATTTAATACCCTTTATATTAATATAAATATAAATATAAATATAAATATAATTTAATTTATTTTTTATTTTTTTTATTTTTTTATGGAATTTTTATTTTTTTACTAGTTTTTTATGAATTTAATAGAATAATATTTACTTTAAATAATCATGAAATTCATTTTATTTTTTTATTTTTTGGAAAAATAATTAAAAGCGCATAAACAAAAGAATAGAAAAATAATTATCAATATATACCCTGAAATGTAAAAATATGTAAAATCTAATTTTAATATTAATAAAAAAATTAATATATAATTAATTTTTATATAAACAAGATATTGAATAAAAAAAAAAAAAAGAATTAATTAAAATATAAACAAAAATTATTTAAAAATTATTATTCTTTTTATTTCTTAAATAAATTTAATAAAATTTATCAAAAATTTAATAACAATTAATTATTATAATAAAATTTTAAAATTATATATAATACTTATAATACTTGCAAAAATAAATATATTAAACAAATTTACGAAGGAACTTTTACATTGAAACTATAATATAAAAAAATATTTATTATATAAATTAAAAAAATTTGAGGAAGCTTTAAAAACTACTTCTATTTCAAAAAACATAATATATCATGATTATAATGGATATTGATATTGATATTGATATTGATATTGATATTGATATTGATATTGATATTGATATTGATATTGATATTGATATTGATATTGATATTGATATTGATATTGATATTGATATTGATATTGATATTGATATTGATATTGATATTGATATTGATATTGATATTGATATTGATATTGATATTGATATTGATATTGATATTGATATTGATATTGATATTGATATTGATATTGATATTGATATTGATATTGATATTGATATTGATATTGATATTGATATTGATATTGATATTGATATTGATATTGATATTGATATTGATATTGATATTGATATTGATATTGATATTGATATTGATATTGATAAAGTAAATAAATTTTACAATGATATGTCTCATATTTAAAAAATATAAAAAATTTCAAGTAAATTTAAAAAAAAAATAGTAAAGTATTTATACATTTTTTCATAACTTTTAATTTTTTCTTTTTATTTATAATATATTATTTTTGTATTATAAAATGAATAAGTTTATATTTTTTATTTTTTTTATATTTAATCTTTGAATTTATTTTATTTGAGTTTTATTAAATTCTCTATATTAATATTATTTTAATTTTTTTTTTTTTTGTATGTAACATATTATATTTATTTTGTTGTTTGTATTTTCTTTCGTTTTTAATATTTTATTTTTTTATATTTCATATTCAAATCACTAAATATAATATAATTTTATATATAAAATATAAATTTATTATTTATTTATTTTTTAGTTTTATTTTACAAAATAAATTATAAATTAATAAAGTTGTAATAAATAGACTATTCAATAAAACTAAAATTAAAAATATTGAAATTATTTTAAATCATATTATTATAAAATTACATAAAAATTTATATTTAGTTTTTAAAACAATTGTAAAAATATTTTTTTTTATTTTTAATATATAAATTTTCAAAATATATTTTATTATATAAAATTTCAAATTTATTTTTGCTGTGTGAAAATTAATTCTTCTTTTAATTAAAATATAATTTATTTATTAATTATATAATGTTAATATTAGAAGATAAATAAGAATATTAAAACATAACTAAACCTAAAAATCATAATCGACTGATTTTAATACATATATAAAAATATAATGAATTTAAAAAGTTTGTTAAATTTTGAAATTAAATAAAATTACAATCAAATACTTATTTAATCTAATATTATATTTAAATAATTTAATATAATTATTAAGTATAAAAACTATATGTTTTCATTAATAGTTAAATTAAAAATTTATATAGAATAATAATTAATAAATTTTTATATTTTGAAATATTATTGGCAATTTAAATTAAAATAAATATTATATTTTATTTTTATTTATACATATACTTGCTTATTAAATATTTATCAATAATTCTTGAATATGTTACATTTATATATATTTATCTTTAAATATTGCTATTTTTACTATTCTAATATTTTTAATTATAAAATTTAAAGATTTATATTAATATATTTTATTTTCATATATTATTAACTTAAATCTTAATTATGATATTCAATATTAATTTGATTTATACTTTATATTTTTTTTTTTAGCTTAATTATACTTATTTTAATGGTTTTAAAATAAAATAAACAAAATTTTTTCATATATGAAAATATTTTTTTTCTTAAGATCTATTTTCTTAAATAATATTTTAAAATTTCTATATTTTTTATAAATTAATTATTTCTCACCTTAATTTTCAGTCTTTTTTATATTTTAAATAAAGATTATTTAATAAAAAAGATTTTATTTCTTTATATAAAAGAAAAATGTATATATCTATCAAGACTATACTTTTTATATATTTAAAAAAATGTTAATAAAATAATTTTTTTTCTGTATTTTTATTTTTTTATATTAACTAACTGCTTTAATTTCATTTTTAATTTACTAATTTATAATTTCTCAGATTTTACTTCAGATATTTATTTGTATTGTCAGAAACATGTAAAAAAAATTTTTCATCTTCTTTTTGTAACTAATTTAATCTTATATCAATTTTATTACTTATTTAAGTTAAATTCTATTATCAAAACAATTTTTACACTCTTAATAAAACTTTAATGATAAATCAATTCATAAATTAAGCTTCTTATTTTAAGTCAGTCGTTAAAAGATCTTCAATAATTAGATAGTTACAATTTTAGGTTATTCATTGTATATTTTTTCTAAAATTTTATTATGTGAACTGCTTTGGGGGAGCACATCCTTATGCTGATATAAAAATCGGTTATAGATTTGTGTTTTAAAGTCTTCTTGGAATTGGGGATTTTTGTACTCTATTATTTTAGATTTGGATATATCCAATTTATTAGATAGTGAAATTATATTATTAGAGTGGCCTACTCTTTTATTTTAATAATTTTGTTTAGAAATATTTTGTAAACAAAAAGATAACAACAAATAGAAAAAAAATTAACATACTTTTATTTGTAAGTCTATAAAAATTAATAGTGAGATAAATTAATTTTTAATTTTATTTATTATTGAATTGTACCGAAATAATGAAATGGAGCCTTATGCCTTTTCATGCCATCCATTCAGATTTTTTTCTCATGCTTCATTAGAACTGCGATTGTAAGTAATATTATATAAAGGGAGACGTCTTATAATCCCTTTACATTTTTATCATTTTGTGCAAGTAGTAGTGCAGCCTCAGAATAGTGATACTTCATATTTGATTTATTAACATATACTGATTAGAAGTTTCTAGAAGGTAATTTCTTATTATTTTTCTTAGAAATTCAAGTAAAATTTAGTATAGGCATTTAGAGAATTATAAAAAATAAAAACAAGATAATAATTTTAAACATTATTAAATTATAAGTTTTAAATTATTTGAAAAATAAAAATTGAAATAAAACTGGTTTTATATATTTTTTTGTATTAATAATAGATCAACGGCAAAAAATTTAGCGAGTTTTTTTAATGGTTTGAATAAATATTTATCTTAAAAAAGTTTTTTTATAAATAATAAAAAAACAATATAATAAAGAATAATAAAAAGTAAAAAATATATTTAATTAATATATTTTCACAAAAAAATGAAATAATATTAAACAAAATATACTAAATTAAAAGTATTGTAGAAATTTTTAAAAATAAATTAAAAATAGCCAAATTAGATAAAATAAATAGAAATGAGTATAATTTTTTTTAAAAAATAATCTTTTAAAAAAAATTATGACTATATTTATTTATATTATTATATAATTATTTATTTTACACTTTATATAATATTTCATAAAAAATAAAATATTGTTTTTGATTTATTATATATTTTTTTTAAATACATCATGCAATTTTTAATTTATTTTTATGTAAAAGAAATTAAAATATTTTATTTAATATAAATAATTATTCAAACTATAAAATAAAACATTATATCTTAAACATATTAGAATTAAGCTTAATTTAATTAATAAAAATCATCAAAAAAAAATGTATATATAATCAAAAATTATAAATAATTGTCATAAATAGTTTATTTATAAAAAATTAATATTTATAAATATAATAATCATGTATATTTTGCTAAATCTATTAATCTTAAATAAAATATAATTTAGATAAACATTTATAATTTAATCAGATAATTTTTTTCCTTTAAATTAATGATAAAAAAAAGTATAGAAATTAATTTTTCTATAAACATTTCAAGTTCAGAAAGCTAAGAATAAGTTTTTTATCCATCAGTAAATAATAATTAGTATTTTATATAAAAGCTTCTATAATAAGAAAAATTATTATAGCTATTTTATATGCAATAGGTATAAATATACTTATTTCTAACTACAAAAGAGTGAGCCTAAAAAGTTAAAAAAGAATTATTTCCATAAAGGCGTAAACTACAGTTGCAATGTTATGTTTCCATTTATAAGCATGTATAATTAATTTATCTATTGAAAGTTTAGGAATTTTTTTATATTTTAAAAATATTTAACTATTAAGCAAATATGATTAATTAAAAACTAAATACACTTTCGTATCAAAAATCCTTATTAATGAAGTTATTTTTTATTTAAGATTTTAGATTTTTAGTTAAATTCATCTAATCATAATATTTTTTATTTTTTTAGATTTTTTTCTTCTTTAATGATTTATTGTAAAAAAAAAAGCATTAGAGTAAATTTTTAAATATATAATATTATATGATTTTTAATTATAATTTAAGTTTTTATCATGATAATTTATTAAGAATTAATATATATTAAAGAAATTCATTTTATTATTTTTGTTTTAATTTAAGTATAAAAACTAAAATATTTATTAAGATATAATTAATTAAAAAAAAATTATTTAATATATATTATAAATTATATGTGTATTTTTTTTTAATAAAATTTTCTATTAATTTATGTATAATTAATAAAATTAGATATATATTTCTATTTATTTAAATTAAGATTGTATGTAAATATTGTATAAATTCTTATATTTTGTATAAATAAATATGAAATATAATATATTTTAAATGAAAGAGATATTTAAAATAAAATCATATAATAAATATAAAAAATTGAAATAAACAGCTATAAATATATTTTTAAATATTTTATGAAGAATATTTAGAAAATTAAAAATAAATGAAAATGTATTAAAATAAAAAAAATTAAATAAAAGAAAAGAAAATAAAGTAATTAATAAAAAGCATATAAAATTTAGAAAATTAAAAATAAAATGAAAATGTATTATAATAAAAAAAATTATATATATAAATATATAATTATATAAGATATTATTTATTAAATTATATTATTTTATATATTTTATATATATTTATTATATATTATTATTTCTTACTATATATTTTATATAATTTAAATATTTTATTTTTAATATATTTCTTAAATTCATTTTTTTTAAACATTTAATTAATTTCTATAAATTTATTTTTTTATATGTAATTTATTTTTCTATTAATTATCTAAATTTATTTTTTATATATATATTATAAAAACTAATTATATACAATTTAAATTTATTATAAAATTTAAATATAATATATTAATATGAATTTTTTCTTATTTTACATTTATAGTTTTTTTATTTTCTTAATGAAAGCTCTCTTTATAATTATTTTATTTTAAAATATTTAATTTTTTTTATTTTATATATAATATATAAATATTTGTTAATTTTTAAATATATAATTTTTTATATATTAATATTTTTTTTTTTATTATATACAATATTTTTATTTTTATTATATACATAAATTTAATATTATATTTTTAATATATTAAATATTATTAATTTAAATTTAAATTTATTTCATTTAAAATAATTTTACAATTATTATAAATAAAAATAATAATAAAAGTTATATATATAATATAAATAAAAAACTTAATTTATAATATTCATAATATATTCTTTTATTATTGAATATAGTAAAAAATATAAAATTTAAAAATTAATTGATTTTTCAAACTATTGAATGTATATAAAATATATTTAAATTATTTTAAAATTATAAATAATATAAATATTTATTTCAATTTATATAGATTTCAAATAATTTAATTATAATTATTCTTTAAAATAATTTATTAATATTATATTATGCATTATATAAAAAATACATAATATATATTATATGCTAATATTTCAAAATTAATCTTATATTCACTTATTATAAAAATTTAAAAAATATTAGAAAGTCATTTATCTTATACATAAAACTAAAAAATCTATTAATGGAATATCTAAATTTTTGCCTTTTTTTAAAAAAAAAATATAAACAGTTTTTAAATAAAAAATTATTTTAATTATCAATAATCAAATTAAATAAGTTTTATATTTAA